TAATTTATCGTTTTTTTAAAATACTTCTTTGGTTCAGATTTTTTCCTTTTTTATGATAATGGTTGCCTTTTTTTTGCAGAAATTAAACTTTACTGAAGTTTGTAATAACTACTGAAAAATAATGTTCTAAATTTAGAAAGTTTGAATAATTTTAGCGAAAAATTTGACCAATAAATCTAGCGAATATAGTGATAGTAAGTAGTGATATATGAGTATATTTAATTTCTTTATAGAATGTTTGAAGTAATGAAAATATATTAATAACTGTTTAAGATATTTACAAGCATATGATATCGGTGTAAATATAATTTTATCACTAGCATTATCTTATCACCGCTTTCAAAATGTGAATGTCAACAATTTCGTAATAAATAGTCCATCTGTACAATAACAGATTGACTGTATTCATTTATTTTTAATCAACTACAATATAATAACAAAATTAATCGGCATTTAAATGATAATATTTCAACAAATATTTTTTTTGTTTGGAAGATTTTTTATTATAATAATAATGTCTTTTTTTGCTGCCTGTCTACCCCCTTAATTTGCTGCCCCTTAATTACTAATTAAAATGGTGCAAGGAAATGCTCACACAATATATCATATATTTATTTATATTCATATATAATCATATATTTTTATCTTTTTGAATAAATCTAATTAGTTTGAACCATAATAAATTATCTTTTTAATGGTAGTACGAAAGTTTTTGCCATCAATTATTTGTTATAATTATGCTCTTGCATATTTGCTGTCTCATTATAATTTTTCAAACAACGATAACATTTATTCGATCAAATATTTAATACCGACAATATAAGTAAAACAGCTGATATTTGATAGCAATGGAAACAATTTAAGTATAAATTCAAAAACGAAAAAAACGTTTGTTTTGCTTAATGAATTTCTTGTCTTTTTTTGAAAAAGTTTTGATTAGAATTTTTGGTTAGAATAAAGTCTAGACAAGAAGATGAAAGCACATAGAGCCGGTTGAAGAAGGAAGAAGATGAACTTTTCCTCTTTCCTTTTCCACTTTCAACCTTTCATTTCATTCATCATTAATAGAAACTTTACTTATAACCGGAATTTAACCTCTCTTTTTTTCTCTTCCTTTTCTCCCTCTCATTCTCTCTTTTTTCCACCTTTTTTCTACCCTTTTTTCTATCTTTCGTTTTCTTTTTTTTGCTCCAACTTTTGATTCATTGTTGTTATACCTTTTTCCAGGAAGCATCATTGAATTCCATCGATAGTATCTTTTAAGTATCGCTTTTTTTTTTCTTCAGTTTATTTTCTATTTGTAGTAAAATAGAGAGAGAGAAGGATGCTGGCATAAATGTTACATTAAACAGGTGGGATTGATGAATGAAATTATGAAGTTCAAATAATATCAACCAAATTATTGAGACATATGATATATTAATTTTAGCATAAATATTAGAGTAAAAATTCATATAAAACAAATGTTTTTTTTATCATTTTATATTTCCTATGCAACTTTTTCTTTTTTGCTTTTTTGATTATTTATTATGCGATGGATGAAAAAAATGACTGCATTTGCAAAAATAAAAATAGAAAAAAAACAGAAACAAAAATATTTTCCGAAAATTTTTACAATAATATTGGATTAACAAGTTATTTGAGATTTAATTTGTTTGTGTTGAAATATTGCAGATTTCATGTTAATTTTGATGCTAATTTTAGCAAATTGCTATTGATTTTGAAATTTAAATATTTATCAATAAGCCATTTATTATTTTGAAATAATAATATGAATGCTATGCGTTATGGAAAATTTTCATTTCTCATTCATATTCACTTCTCATTCTCATTCGATAGTCTAAACATTTACTAAAATTCAAATTATGATTGGAAAATGCAAAATAATAACAATAACAGTATCAACTATTGATTGAACAAAATGTGTTATTTTATTTTATTTTTTTCTTTCTTTAAGACTTGAAAAAATTTGAAATAAACTTTTTTAAAAAGAAATTTTACTGGAAAATATTGTCCACTTAAAAAATCTAATTAACAGATTACACTTAAAATTGGAAATTTTTGAATTAATTTCTAAATTTTACGGAAGTATATGTTTACATACATAAAAATAATCTTTATAAATTGTCAAAAGTATTTTCCCACCACATAGTAGTTCGGAAAATATTCCTAATTGTCTTTCAAATATATGATTGCAAACGATAGAGATGATTATGAGAGAGGAGAATGATTGTGGAATAATGGGAGAAAAGAAAGAAAGGGAAAGAGAGGGGGAGGGAAAAGAAAAAACCGATTTGCAAATATTTCAGACATTCTCTTTACAAAACTCTCATAATGGTCCTGATCGGCTATCATGTATAAATCATCAGGTGAACAAATATATGCATGTTTATTATCTATACCTCTTCCTTAGTTTTCTTTTTTTTTTTAAATCTAAGCAGCTGTTAAAATATCATCGAATAGTTCCTTTCATTTTTGCTTATCTTTTTTAATATCACATATTACATATTCATATACACGTATTACTGTTTTTTTCAGGTTGAGCTTAATTGTGCTTTTATACTATAGCTAATATATCCCAGGAATTAATTATTTATCGGAATTTTAGATTTTAAAAAAAATAAAAGTTTCATTTTGTTTTATTTTTCCATTATAATATCAAATGATATAAATATATGTAAGTTCGGATTATTAAATCGTCAACTTGTGATTTTATTCTTATTATAATTTTATTATTTTTGATAAAAATTTATGAAAAAAAAAGGAAACATATAAAGTTAAATATATTTTTTTTAGCAAATGAAAAGGAAAGTGACGTTGATTTAGAATGTTTAAAAAAAATGATAAATTGCGAAATGTGTGAAATATGACTAAGCATAAACTTGTTATTATGCAAAAATTTTTGCTGTAAGCTAATTTGTAAGACGAATAAATGAGTATAATTAGGATAATGGTAGTGATGATATCCTATCCGAAATGATATTTTTACACACCAACTAAAATGCTTATTTTTGTTACAAATTATTGAAGTTGCTATTTTTGATTAAATTTGATTGCTAATGCTCGAAATTTTGAAGTCATCAGAAATTTCGTTTTCATCTTGTCTTCTCTCTTCTGTCTATTTGAATTTTCTGTTGTCAAGACTAAAGCATTGAAAGAGAATTAAAAAATAGATGGAAGTACAAATATGTTATCTTTTATCATTATCATATCTGATCCTTTTAATTCTAATTTAGCATATCAAAAAGTGCTATAATAAATTGTGCAAAATTTGAACTTTTCATCAAATTATGTTTTTAACTTTTGAAGAATTTGACGAAAAATAGTGTTAGTGTATCACATGCATATTGTATTTATTCATGGAATTAATTTAATTTAACGTTTACAATGTAAATAGGAATTTTATCTTATCATACAATCATTATTGAAAATCGTGATTTTGCGCGAAATTATTGCCTGAATAAGTTTGAAGCGATAAAATTATTAGTTTTTGCAAAAGTTGTAAGAATTTCAAAGTTAAGCAAAAATCTCGTACTCTAGAAATTTTAGGTTTTTGTTTTTTTTTTCTCTTTTTCACTCATTTTACTTTGCCTAAATTTCAGATCATGCGTATTAGTTGAAAATTATTCAGCATATTTGTCCGAATTTCAGATTAACAAATATCTGAATAATAAAACTGAATACAATCCGCAGCGACTGGTTCGCTTTCTTACTTCAATCCGGTTATTTCCGCTTTATATTAACCTAATACATCTGAATGAATCCTAACGGTATGCTTGCAACAATGAATGGTGCAGCAGCAGCTGCAGCTGCAGCTGCTGCTGCTGTAGCTCATAGCGGAAGTGGAACCGGACCAAATGGTACCGTTAATGCAAATGGTACCGGAGCTGGAATATGTGGTAGTGGTGGTAGTGGTGGTTGTGGTGGGACGTCTACAACAAAAATTGCTGGACGACAGCACTGCTTCCTATGCGACCTACCTCGTTGGCCATGGGCTATGTGCAATGATTACATGGAACCTGTTTGTCGAGGCTGTGTCAACTATGAAGGAGCTGATCGGTTTGCTTTCAATTTTTCGTTTTAAAACGGAAATAAAAAGCAATAATTTGTCACAATAATGTAATCTTATTAGCATTTATCATTCAATTAAGATAACATAAATCAATAGAATGCATCATTTATAATCATTTATTTTGGAAATAATCAAAAATCTAAAAAAAACAAATAAATGTAGCTTGTTTTTTTTTTCTTCACATTATTTACTCTGCTGCATTATTATTTTTTGAATATGTTCAAAGGGCAAAATACCAATGTTTTTATTTCAATTCATGAATTGAAGAATAATTCTTAAAGGTGTGAATTATCATCAAATTCATTGAAAATTTAAAAATTTGATTCTTTAATGAAGTAATAAAAATTTATTCATAATTAGCAGGTTTCACTGTGGACATCTGAATTGGATGGAAAATGAAAAATATTGATTCAGAAATTTCGATTTAAAATATATCAGCATTGAATAGTTTTGCTGCACTAATGATTATTGCCTGTTATTTGCATTTATGCAAAAAAATTTTATGTTATAAGTAAATTTTACATTAGAAATTTTTATGTAATATTTACAGGATAGAAAATGTAATTGAGAATGCACGTCAGTTGAAACGTGTTCACGGATTTCCAGTAGGCGAAACATCAACTGCCATTGCTAGTAGAAATTTATCGCAGGTAATTTTTTTCCTCATTTGTTTTCCACTCTAATTTCGCATAATTTTATTCTATTATCTTCTTTTTTTAATTTTTTCCTTCTTTAAATAAAATTTTTGTAAAATTGTTGCTCTTATGTGCAGAATTGAATGATTAAATTGTTCTTTAATATTTTCCGTTGCATATTTTTTTCTTCATCCAGAAAGAATGTTTAATGCAAGCCGGTGCGGGACGATTTTCTCCAGCTGTGAACCGCGGTGTTAATCCTGCTACAGTACCACCACCACCAACGGCGGCTGTGCAACATCAGCAACAACAACAGCAAGCGGTTGCCGCAGCAGCAGTTGCCGCTGCGGCACAAGCTCAAATGCCGCAATTACCGCTTAATCAATTAACCGAAGTTAGCAACAATTACTATTATTTATATCTTTTATTATAAGGGACATAACGAAGTCAGTTTATTGTAATTTCCGCTATGATCTTTGTCCTATAGCTAAAATTAGCTTCAGTAAACTTTATACTTCCATAAATAGCAATTATTAATAGTATGTTTAATTGATTTAGCTCAAAATCATTTCAGGCTTTGGTACAACAGCAGCGGTTCATTTCATTGGCCGGTAGGCAACCTGGACAATTTACGGCGGAAGATTTGCATGCCTTGCAACAATTGCAACGGCCAATTCATCTTCAAAATTCTCTTATGCAACATGGTCTTCCGATGAGTGAGCTTATACGTAACACTTTCTTTGCCATTTTTCCTTTTATAAAAATGATAAAAAGAATATTTCAACTAGAAATTTTAATTGAGTATTTGATTAAAATCACAATTCGAAAATAAAAATAGGCAAAAATAAATTTTGAGATTTGCTAATAATGCTGTTATCAACCACTCGTACATATAATTTTAATAATTTTTAGGTGTATTTCCAAATTTGGTAACAAATAGCGTAGCAAGCTTACTACCACCAAATGCATCACTTGCTGCTGCTGTTGCAGCATCACGGAAACGTGAACATGATTCATCGGATGATATTAAACCTGATGTATACGGAAAGGTACAACGTGGTAAGTTGTATATTTATATACGCATATTTGCATACCGATTATTTTCGTCTATTCTCTATTATTTGATAATGATTTCTTTTTATTTAAAAAGAAAACGTTTATTAATTTTAAAAGCTATATTTTATTTGATAATCATTTCTCTTTTTTATTTAAAAAAAGGTTTATTAAATAAAAGCTATATTTTATCATCAGCTTATAAATTTGAAATTTCATAAATTTATATCCAGAAAAAAAATATCGGATTTATCATGTTTTAAAAATTATACAAGAAATTGGAAAGAGATAATAGACGGTAAGAATGGGAATGAATTTGAATAGTTGAGAGAGTAAATGTATTGTTGTTTGTATTTTACTATTGAAATTACATAATACAAATGGCATCATCATTTTGCGCTGAATATGAAATGTTACATAAATTACCGATTTGAAGGAAAGATTAGATTAGAGTGCATTTTGAGAAGAAAAGAAAGAAAAATGACTGGCGCAAATGCCATCTTGTCCTCTCTCTCTCTCTTCCCATTTCGCCATTCATCCGTTCATCTTATCCCTTCCTTTTATGAATGACCTCTATGGATCATTGCATTTATTGTATATGATCAAATTGTAAACTTATTTAATAGAAACTGGGTTTCTTGTTCCCTTTTTCAAACCAAATCTTTCTTATTAAAATACTGATAGGATGATATTTGCCGGTATTCACTACACCGGTACTGCTCCTATATGATACAGTTTGTACCAACTATTTGTGACAGATGGTAAAAATGTTGATGATAGGTTTGAGGTGCATTAACCCCAATATAATTTACACATACAAACATATATATACACACACACACACACACACACACACACACANACACACACACACACACACACACACACACACACACATAGAGGATGAGAAATGACCTGATGTCTGATTCGGAAACCGGTTTTTGATATTCTTTTTGTTTTTCTCAATTTCCTTCCGATTTTAAATTATATATCCATTCTTAAATAGTTCAATGACTTCACTTATCTTGTCTTTAATGATAGCCTTTTAGTGTTTGCAAAAATTTTAACAGTTTTTAATTTTTTGCAAATGGAAATAGTATAGTATTGAAAAAAAGAGAAAGAGAGAGAGAGAGAGAAAAAAGTTGAAATGTTAGGGAATATTTGGTACAGGGTGAAGCAAAAAAATGTATGAACCGGTGTTTTATTTGTATTTTACCCCCATATTTTTTTTACCGTCTCTTTCTCTCTCTTTCTTTCTTTCTTTAATAAGAAAGGTATTAGTTGTTGAAAAGTTTGTTAACTCCAATATTTTTCCTCTTCACTTTACCATTGCAAATTATCATCATTAAAAGGATTAAAGGCAAGGAAGGAAGGAAGGAAGAAAAGAAAAGGAAAGGATTTATATATGTGTATTTAGAATTATGGTGAAATAGAAGAGGAATGAAAGAACTGTGAAAAGAATACATTCATTTTATTGTACGGATAACAGACGGACGGATAGACGGACTGAGGAACCGGTTTTTGGTGCCATGTGACCTGCTGGTACAATCCGGTGGCTGTAATATTTGCTACGGAACACCAAATGTTTGATTAGAGAGGTCTCGAACAGTGGCAAAAATTCAACATCCCATTATTATTACTCCCGAATAGCATGGAATAACCTCATAAGCCTTTTTATCGTAAAGGAATGAGAGGGAAAGAGAGAAAGAGAGAGAAAGAGAAGGAGAATGAGGGAAAAATGAAACGCGAAGTAAGAGGGATGGGCTTTTTTTCATCAAAAATTATGCAGAAATAATTTGAATGAATAATTTTACAATCTAAGATAATTTTCCTGCATGCATTTTTTTCCTTTTAGAAAG